GTGTTTAAATACGCAGTATTTACAATAACGTACCATATTAGGAATTGAATTATGGCGGTAAAAATATGATATCGTAAGACATAAATTTGTCTCTGTAAAATATTCTACTTTGGGAGATAAATATGAAAGTTTTGACAAACAGGACTAACGTAGTTTTCTCTAGCTCACTGGTCCGAATCAAAACTCAGGTTGGAGTCGTACGACACAGCTAAACTTCTCTTCTCATGAGTTTTGAGCAGCTGAATTAATACTATTTACGACTTATATGTAAATTTTTGTTGTAAATCCAAATGCTTTGCCTTTTATAGTTAATTAAAAATAACTACGACATTTTTTTATAAAGCTAATCTTATATCATGGGTTACACTTTATTACTTTTTACCCTATGAGTTTATGATTTACAACTGTTAAATTGTTTAATGAATAAGATAATTCAACAAGTACTAAGAACCACAGAACCGGAATTGAAGAAAAGCGAACGTACAATAATCTATATACCTAATACAGTTTTTCCTGTTATTTCTTTTCCAACCTTATCATCAAGTGGAGTGACGAATTAGACACCGCAAAAAGGTTACAATTTCCTTTAAAGATTAGCCTGCCTTGCGTTTAATTTATTTACAGAGTTAATCTTTAAAGATCCAGTTAGTTGACCAATTAATTATAACGCTTTCAATGTGAATTTTTAATTTAACAGCCGTACTTTCAGTTGAATGTTTAATTACCGTCAGATTGTAAACAAGTGATGGAACTGTTGATTAAATCGTATTTTTAAAGGGTTGAAAAGACACATTTTGATTGTTCGTCATAATGCAACATTAATTAGCAAACGGAGTTCGAAAAGGAAAATAATTTGCATCCAAAGATAACCTCTCAAAACAACTTCCAGCTTTTTTTTAATGTTGCTAATGTAAACAATCAGCTGTTAGTAAGGAATTCGATCATTTCGTCTATTGTATTACGAGTATGCTACAATTTTACTTAAGATTTTTACTCCTCTGTAAAAGATTACGGCCAACTAGATCAAATACAAAAAAAATCTAAAAATAAACTGGTTGATTTGCCTTTACTATTGAAACTTTCATAGACGAGCTTTTTATATGAATGGGCACTATGATGCGCTGCTTTTTCTTTCTGGAAATTTACCACATGCAAAACTCATATGGACTAAAGCCGGAGCTAGGATTTTGGAAGATTCTGTAAATTCATTACGATTGTGAATTAGTTGATGTCGTTGGTAGTGGTTGAGTATGAATGGTATGATCTATCAAGACTTGACAATCGATCAACAAGTTCAACAATTAGTCCCTTGGCTAGTTCCTATCATACTCATTGTCGTTGGTAGTGGTCGTGTGTTAGTTAGAAATACTAGACCATCGTTCACCAAGCTCAACGACTAAGTTCCTTAGCTATGTGCTTGGAAAAATTCAAACACAATAAGAAAAGACTTGATCCTATAAATGAATTCTAGTCAGTTCCTATCAATCTCATTGTTGTTGTCAAACAATAGAAAGTAATTAGTACTTCTCCCCCGGCGCTAGACTCCAACGTCATGTGCCAGGAACTAATAAATCTGCTTTCTATTTACACAGTGATCTTAGCTTCCTGTCTTGCTTAACTGATCAATAAGTTATAATTAAACTCGAGTAATTAAAGGTTTAGAAGTCAAGTTGGAACACCTCATGTGATTTCCATTTTTGCGCTTCATGTAATCTTGCATAATTATTTAATATGTTTAATTAAATCAATTTATATCCATACACATCCAAATAGTATGTATTAATTATAATTTGACTTTTTAGCTAATTAAATAATAATATTATCAACTATATCAAAGGAAATAACAGCTGAAAGCATAAATAACAGTACCAGCAAACAGACACATACGTTTTCTCATTAGCTTGTCAACAAAACAACTGCAAGCGGTTCGAGTAATATTTTATGGGTAAAATCACCAAAACTTTAATAACTTTTTGGCCGCATTATTACAGCATTGAGAGGGTTGTACCATTTTGTCTAAAGTTAAATGCACCACACCGTATTGCATTTTAATCGAAATCGTTCAAGCAATTTTGGTAAAAAGTGGGGTTTCCATTACATTATTAAAAACCACTACTAAAATTAAATAATAAATAAAACCGCCTGGATATACCATTGATTAACACTCATACATACCAACACACATTTCTTCTTCAGGATTTCTAGAGAACAATGATAAATTAAACATAAACGAGGGTGAGTGTTTGTTTAGTATATATACATTTCTAAGCAGATAAAGATACATTAATGAACACATTTTTTTAAATGAAATAGAATATCATCAATTTATAAATGGGAGGAATTGGCGACCTTTAGCTAGCTATCTAGAAAACGCGAAGTATAGATCGGAGATAGTGACAGAATTTAACTTTTGAACCTAAATTAATTTGGTATTATAACTGTATATGAAACTCGTCTACAGATAAGTTAGGATCAGTATGTTTTTGTTTTTTTCACTTCTGTAATAAAGTACTCTTTCCCTCTTATATTTTTTCTCTTAAATCTTTATTTCAAAAGTATTAATAAATCTGTTTAGTGCTCAATAGGCCTACTATTCTAATCTTAAGTAATTGAACAACTCTAGTGCAAACAAAACAGACGGTTATTAACCATTGTTTTTATGTGTCTGTGTAAACATGTATTTATGTTCTAAATTGTACAATAAAGCACATTTTCATTTCATTTCATTTTATGAACACATTTTAAAATAAACAAAATAAATAGGACTATAAACTCTTAACAAATAATTAAATTTTAAATGGGAACTGATCAATTAAAAAAATATAAAAAACAGACCTAAGGGGAAATTAAAATTAAGCTGAGTTGAATAAGTTTTTTAACATCTAAACTTAAACTAAAGGGGACTTTGTTTTAAGTACCATCTATTGAGCCAATTCGGAATTTCTTAAGACCAGTCGGTTACATTTACGGTATAACGGTTCGTGGCCTGTACGGTTGCCTACGGATCTAGGTTACTTTGTGAGGGGCTAGGTATAGCATCAGCACATAGTTTCTCAAGTAAATCTACCAACAATCCAACAATCGGATGAACCTTGTTTGTAACTTTGCTATTGAATTCAGTTTTAAGGCTTAAACCTCAATTTTCGAGCAGCAGTTTTAGTTGGAAATATCCGTTTTCGGTTTCACTGAAAAAAAAAAAATGTTTTTGAAGTTATGTCTGTATGTATGTAACGAGTTTTATGATGCCTAGGCTATGTTGTAATAGTATTCAATTCCGATTTCCAAAGCCTTGCTCATACGAACTAGTACTGATAATATGTTAAATGATCACAAATAAAATGGAAATAAAAAAAAAAATACTTTTATATTTACCTTATTCTGTATTGAAATTCTCTCCGGAAGTTGGTTTGATTAATTCCAGTAGAGTAGGCTGAGACGTGTAATAAGTAAAAAGCAATATCAAGAATGAAAAATCAACATTTCAAAGCTCATGTCAGAAAGCGTCTGTCAAAAGAAACATAACGATATAAGGGAATACAGCTGATGCAGAGCAATTTCAAGAGGAGATGTGTCTGTGTTATTGTACATTTCAAGTTAAATATATGAGTAACGTTTAGGAAGTTTTATTAGTTAAAATACAATATGCTTACGTCACGGATAAAGCACGGATGGCACAAATAGTTATAGGTATATTCGCAGCATAAACAATCATTAAGAATGTAACAAATACTTTTTTTTTATATGAAGGAAGATTTCTAACTATATCATAAACCTAATCATAACAACATCTTGTAAATTTATAGTAATGAAAATATACAGTACATCATTTCAAAATTGTTCTCCAAAGATAAGCGGTTTTAATAAATTGTTTATATCCATCTATCTATCTATACTATTATATAAAAATCTTGTGGTGTCTGTATGTGTATTACTAATAGGCGCATAAACTACTGAACTGACTGGGCTTAAATTTTACAGAAATATAGCTACCATACCAAGGACCATAATAGGACTATTCACACTTCGATACTGACCGTGGGCTTTGCCCCTTTGGCTTTAAAAGTTCTGAGTTGAGGATTTTAAAAGTAAATATTGATTGGTCTCCATGGCTGCCATGAGAACAAACACAATGTTTACAATTTGCTATGCCACCCAAATGTAAACAAGCTGAACTGTCAAACCACATTAATTCACAATGCCACAGCTGGTTTATAAATAGGAGGCATATAATATTCTCTACAATCATGTTTATTTATTCTTATATTTGATGGTTCATTGATTATTTATTTTATGAAATTAGTGAGATTGTATATCTGATGCTGTATCTAACCCTAATTAATTATTTAAAATTTTGCTAATGTGAATAATTGTATTGAAAGAGTTTGGTATAAAAATAGTGAAATTATAAAGTTCACATTTACTTGAATCATTTTAACATTTTTGAACAATTAACATGTGTTTAGAGTAGGGCACACACCTTAAAAATTGAAACATTTTTCTCAAGGAGATAATTAATTGTATATTTTTGCCATTTTGAGAGAAATATTTTTCACACCATTAGCCTTTTCCCAAATTTTTAAATCATATTTTCATATTACTACCCATAGAGTTATGATGTTTTCTAATCCAGAGGTAGCTACTACTCTATATTATAACTTTTTACACTTCCTGTAGATTTTACATTCTATTCTAATAATGAATATCTTTTTACGAGCGTTTCAAGGTCATTACATGTATAATTTCAACCAAGTTCCTCTTAACTTAACCTACCCTTGCAATAACATTGTTTGAATGACATTAAATTTACTAATTCTAAGCTGATATACAAATATTTCAAATTAAAAACATTGTATTTGTCACTTGAGAAACATCTGATGAGGGCACAGATTTAACGGCTGTGGAGGTTGGTGTGAGCACAGGCGTAGGTGCTGAGTCAGGTGTAGGAACATGGGTAGGTGCTGGGTCAGGTGTAGGAACAGGGGTAGGTGCTGGGTCAGGTGTAGGAACAGGGGTAGTTACACTCACTTTGCACAAGGATGACCCAAAATTACTTGACAGCATGTTGGAAGAAGAGGTCATAATATTCCAAGTAGTTAAAGTGAGGAATGTGAATGGATGCAGAGTCGTTGATGTCACCTGTGGTGACTCGATAGAAGGAGAGATGAGGACTTGGGACTATGAACCGCTGAGCACTCCTGACCCATTGACTGTTGGAGAGAAAGTCAACATCATTAAGATCATAGATTCAAACACTCTGATAGTTGCACTAGCCAATGATCTTGAGTTTCTAAACATGTATCAAATAGACTGTGGGAAATCAAATGAAAATTTTCAATGTCCTCCAAAAGAAGGTGATTACGTTTCCTTCTTAGACCCAAAAAGTGAAGGATATTTAAGATGTAAAATTGAGAAAATCGATGGAGCCAATTACATACTTGAAGAGGTAGATAATATCAACACGTATCAGGCAAGACTTGAAGATCTTCATCCTCTTCCTGAACATTATCGAAATGTACCATGTCGAAGATCACAAATTGAGTTGAAAGATGTTGGTAAAGTCAAAGAGACTGAAGGCTCCCATTCGTATCTATTGGACATTTATAAAGAAGAGAAATCCCTCACAGTAATTGAAATTGATAACGGCAAAGTAGTTTTGACTGTTGAAGGGGGAGAAGGTACTTTGAACAGTAATCTAAAAGAACTTCTGAACCCCCCCGTTGTGCTTAACAAGCAAGGAAAATTAAATATATTGAGCCTACCTGAAGTCAAGGTTCCACTAGACCAAGAGTTTCAATTTTCGGTAACACAAACTGATCCATTGTATGTGCAACTGGTATCCTCGACGCTGGAATATATAACCACACTCCACGAAAAACTGCAAGAGCACGGTCAAGCAAATAACAAACCTTACAACCCTTGTGCAGGAGAGCTCTGTGTTGCTCTATACTTTGGAGATTGGTACCGATGCCGCTGTATACGAGAGACCTCTCCAGAAACAGGAGTGTCAGTGCTCATGCTGGTGGACTACGGCAACATCTTTCAAGCAAAGACAAGTGAAATCCGCCAGATCCTGCCTGATATGGTGACAATGCCCAGCATTGCAATCTCTTGCAAAATTCATGGTTTGTCTGAACCCGTTCCATCCACCTTGAAGGATAAATTGAATGAGCTTCTTCATGTAGATTCTGTGCACAGCGGTGTGTTTGTGGCGGAACAAGACGACTGTTATGAAGTTGTTATTGAATCTGTGAAAAAAGCCATGCAAGATGTGTAGTGATGAAGTTGTTATTGAATCTGTGAAAAAAGCCATGCAAGATGTGTAGTGATGAAGTTGTTATTGAATCTGTGAAAAAGCCATGCAAGATGTGTAGTGATGAAGTTGTTATTGAATCTGTGAAAAAAGCCATGCAAGATGTGTAGTGATGAAGTTGTTATTGAATCTGTGAAAAAGCCATGCAAGATGTGTAGTGATGAAGTTGTTATTGAATCTGTGAAAAAAGCCATGCAAGATGTGTAGTGATGAAGTTGTTATTGAATCTGTGAAAAAAGCCATGCAAGATGTGTAGTGATGAAGTTGTTATTGAATCTGTGAAAAAGCCATGCAAGATGTGTAGTGATGAAGTTGTTATTGAATCTGTGAAAAAGCCATGCAAGATGTGTAGTGATAAAGATACACGGTGGCATCACTGACTTTGGATTAAGAGTGTTAAATAAAAGTATTTTTTATACCTCGATACAAAAAAAAAAAAAAAAAAAAAAAAAAAAACACATCAAGACTCAAGATCCCTCTCTCTTCTGTAATCTCTCTTTAAAGTTCTGTAAAATCATTGAAAGTTTATTTGTTAATATTAAAACTATTTGTTAATTGTATCTCAGTGTTCTAATTTGAAGAATGAAAACTCCGCTTAACTTATAAATATACAGTCCACTCAATCCACTCTACACGCATCTACCCCGGACGAAGGACGGGTACTCAGCTAGTCTATAATATTTTGTTGTACAGTCTAAGAATGATATACATCAAATTAATATGATTACATTTTTTTTGTTAACAGTGAAACATATATTGTTCACATGATAGCATAGTCAATGTTTTTGCTATTTTCTCAAATAATTCGAGTTTTGGGCATAATGGATGTTTATTGCTCCTGTGAAAAGTTGCTAGAGTGCTTTCGTAACAAAAAAAAGACTGTATTTTATACATTTAACTTTTCAAATGCATTTTTTTCAATTTTATAAAAATAAGTTGATAGTTAACATTGTATACGTTTTAAAATAAGAGAGGCATAAATTGACATAATTATTTACTATTCAAGTCCAAATAATGTACTAATTACTCAAATCAACCTGTAGATTAATCAGGTAAATGTGTTATTGGCAAAACATGCAGTATGGTAGAATACAATATGGAAATGATGAATGCCAAATCAGTCAGGCATTATTTGACTATATAGAACGACACCCACTGAATAAAGTAGATATAAATAGTATTCATCCAACTTCGGCATTCTATCTTTTTATATTTTCAGAAATATCCGTCTATTGTACTTCGAAATTCGCAAAGAAACAAACAAATACGGGCTAAGCCTCAAAAAAGTGAAAAAAATGATAGCGACTCTAAATCTATATTACTATCATAGTTTTGCCTTATTTACTATAAACGACTTTCGGTAAGTAGGAAAATATATTTAAGAATCAAAACGGAAACAAAACTGGAACAAAATCGGAATCCAAGGGTGTCTGCATTTCGTCCACCTTAACATTTTTGTGATACGTACACAGTATGGATCAATTCAATTCAAATATCTTTATTCATTTAACAATACAACAAAATAACAATTGACAAATAATATACATTACATAGAATAAAAAAAAATAGTTACAACTAATACAAATTGAGAATGAATAGTTAGTTAGGTTCCTCATTTACTCGTGTTGAGGAAACATTACAATCTAAAAGACGTACTGGAGAAGAAAAACAAATAATACATTAATGCTTTGTATAAAAATGGAACATAAATAATGAAAAATTTGTATTTAAAGAATTTAAAACTATAAAATAAAAGTGTTTCTACATATTCAAATAAAATATAAAAGTGATAAATAATAACAATAAAATACAGTAAAGAAAATAACAAAACATGTGTACATCCATTTACAACAACTTGGACAAAAATATTTTAACTTCAGGAAAAGTAAAAAGTCACTGACTTTTTTAACTTCTTTACAAATATTTTTGAATTATCACTTAAACAAATATTCTTTGGAAGAAGGTTAAATTTGGAGCCAGAAAACTGAAAACTCGTCTAAAAACTCATTATAAGGGTGTGGAGTAATAACGTAATTTCTAGATCTTAGTCTATGAGAATAAACCTGTCGATTTCCTAAAACGTGGCCAGATCTAATAAAAAATATTTGTAGTACTCTGAAAAATATTAAGTGTCATAGTGAAAAATTTGTTAGAGAGTTAAATAAGGGAAAACAATGTTCTAGCCTGTATACATCCATTATCAACCTTACGATATTTTTATGGGCTACAATCAAAGGAATAATACTGGAATGATAAATACATCCCCAACATAATATGCCATATTGCAGTTTGGAATCCACCAAAGAAAAATATACAGTTTTCAAAATAGATCGAGGACAGCAAGACTGTAGCAAATAAAATTTCCTTATGCAAGACCATAGACATTTCTTTATATTATTTATGTGGGGCTTCCAGCTAACATTTTCATCGACAGTGAGACTAAGATATTCAATGTCTCCTAAATGCCGGGACTCCCTGTTAACAGTGTAAACATTTTTAAGTGATCAATCGAAGTGAAGAATCGAATGTACTTAGCTTTATTACTAAGGGCCATTTTGTTTGAGGTGAACCAGATTTTTTATTGATCAAAATCTTCTTGCAAATGTCTCATTAAGAGGACAGAATCTTCATGAGAGTAACTAAGAACAATATCACCGGCAAAACAATTTATGCTTCCAGAAAATGTTCCTTTACATAAATCATTGATATCAACTAAAAACAGAATATTACCAAGCACCGACCCCTGGGGGACGCCACAGGTTATGGATAAATCTTTCATTTATTATGATTATTATTATTATTATTCATCATTAGAACTAGTGATCTTATGCTTAAAACATTGAGATCTTCCGGACTGATAACTATTAAACCAATTCCAGGCAACAAAAAATACATTTTTGTATTAGCCTACTTAAAAATGTATTGACTCAATAATATGTAACAAATAATATAAACAATCTATAATATTAAAACGTAATAGGGGTTTTTTTATTACACCATTCTCAATCAACCATTTGACGGATTTTCATGATTTTTGTGTTGAAAGAAAGATAATTTTGAGAACTAGGGAATGTCGAAGGCATAATTTTAGTTTAGGGTTTCAGTTTTTTGGAAATTAAGTTTAAAATTTTAAAAAGTCTAGCAGCCGACGCTTTCATTCTACTCTAGCTTTTGGTATAATAAAATTTGCTTAACGTAACAGCTTTAAACATTCCGCGTTTTTCGACAAAAATTCAGCTTTTGGATGAAATTGAAATGACATACGTAGAATTGACTTATTTATACTATGTGTAATGCTATAACAATTAATTGATACGTTTATTTAATCGGTAAGAGGATGAGAGTTTATTTAAATATACATAGTAAAATAATAGATATTCAAATTAATTTTTTTGAGCAGTCTTTAAAATATTTAGTTTGTTTTAGTGAAATATAATTTGTTATAACTAACAGCTGGTTGAATAAAAAATATTCTATAGATTTATGAGGTTAGTTTATTTACTCTGAGATTTTGTCATTGATTATAGGAAATAAGTAAATTCTATAACCATTGCTGTATACGAATCGAAGCTCACGAATCTTCAAAAGATACACGCATCTACCCCGGACGAAGGACGGGTACTCAGCTAGTATCTATATATAGATATATAAAAATTTGAACGAATGGTGTTTTTGGCCTCTGGGGACATCAAAATGAAAAAGTAAATCGGTCCCGGGCTTAGGTCTTACCATGAGACCTACGGTAATAGCTACTTCCCTATAGGGAAATTCGCTAAAAACTAATTAAAGTGGGCAATCATAGTGTTATTTACGTTAATAGTAAAGAAGAAGGAATGAATAATGTAAAGGCAACACGATTCTGCTGATAAAATCCTGCTTTTCAGTGAAATGACTTATCATCATGCTTAGACTTCACGACTAGCATTAATATAGTAAATCCAAAAACCTGGTTTTAGGTAGAATTTTTTAATGTATTTTGGAACTTTGTTGCTAAACATATATGGGCGTTCGATATTTTGGAACGTGGTTGCTGGAGTTCCATGCAAGCTTCAAAATATCAGGGGTCTACCTAAACTGACAGCCCACATCACAGCACTAGCGACTCAAACAATGTTATTGGTCTACAAAGTATTAAACATCACTCTTATGCGTCTATGATTGGTGGACAAACGCAGCTTTGTGATATTTTATGCATTATATACGTCTTAAACATTTTTGACATGTGTAGCTGACCGTACGCTCTGATTTGCAACTATGCAACTATGGGTGAATGACGTTTGTAGCTATTGGCAATGTTATACAGTACCTTTATGAGAGTGGCGTTCTGCATATTATCATTTGTCAGTGTTCTGTTATGCATTTATGGGCGTGAGTAGTCCGTATTCTGTATTCTTGTCTGCATTTATGAAAGTAAGATATTGCTGTCTGTTGCTACAACGAGATCTCTGTTTCGTTCACTTTTGATTGATAAATGCGTACAGCTTCTAACCATTTACCAAATTCTATAAGTGATATTTTAGATGTTACTAAGTGTGTAAGTTATTTATTACATTATAATTTGAGACTTTTCCAAATTCCAGGTACTTTATGGCTTATATTGTACTAATGACCTTGAATCGTAGGTTCAGTTTGGTAGAAAAAGAGAACTTTGGTAAGTATCTTCTGCATATATGAGAGTGAGTCATCATATTGCAACTATGATTTTACCGCCTTTACATTGAAAACCCACCAATTTAAAAGGGTTCTGTTTCCTAGATGCGGACTTTTTTACAAGTTTAATGTAAATGAAGTTGTAATATCTTAGATTTATGGATAATCTAGTTGGTTTAGAAGTGGAAGAAGAGATTATATTTATTATTTCTCTGACCATAAACTGACTTTATGGCAGTAATGTGATGTAAGTTTCAACCGCTACGGCTAGAATTTATTGACAGAGAGATGTTTTATTGCTATCTATAAACGTTTAAACGAGTCTGGGAAATACGTGTTCTAACATCTTATATTATATTTACGCTAAATAATAAAATAATGTGTACTTGTTGTAGATTTATAGTGGTTAACATACATGATAGAAGAATAATATATTTTTGTTATCCCAAAA